CGACAGCCGAGAGAAAGAACTCACGGGCGGCGGCAGCCTCGGTTGCGGGCCGATTTTAGGTAGAGCACGGCGGGATCTGGATGGATCGGGGGCAGCTCGGCCGGGGAAGGGGCGGTCTCTCGCGATGTGTCCTGAGATCCAACAGCTATGGCAGCGTATATCACCGGTGCACGCCAACTTGATGTGGCCAAGATCTAAGCATTTAAAGCAGAGCCCCACCAGTCACCGGGGAATCCTATGCTTGGCTTCATCTTGGAGCTTAACGGCGGGAGCATCTTCATAACGGCGCTGTGGACGACGATTCCGCACCACCATCCATCCATCGCCATCTGGCTCCAAGTCTTCAGATGCAGGACAGGAACGGCCCGGGAGAGGCGCCCCGGGAGCAGCAGATGAACCGGAAGCCGTGGTCGGCCGAGGGACGTTATCTGGCCGTTGGGATTCGGAGCGAAAACCCAGCGGGTGAGGCTGTGGCGGAGGAGCAAGAGGACCGTTGGGAAGCCATCGTCCCTGCAATCATCATTAGGAAGGAATTTCTTCGACGAGTGGTTGGTTGGAGTCCCTCCGACGTAGCTCACCCTCTACTCGACACATCCATGGACTTGTGGCACATCACTGTGTCCACAACTCTAATGACATCATTCATTTCGCTAGCAAACAGTTCCATCGATGTGGAGATGTTTATAAATGTGAATACTTTCGTTTGGTCTAAATCCCACGTACATATGATTAACTATCTCTAATCAAATTAGAGTAGGTTCGCCTTGCATCTTCCTTCGTTTCTTCTGCCCCGACCTGCTTGATTTTCTATAGATTTTTTTGTTAGTCTCCGCATAAAACAAAAGCCAATGTATATAAAATAACTTAAATAATTAAACCAATTCGATACTTTTTCCTTGTCCTACTTATTTCTGTAAAACAAAAAACCCATTCATTTATGCAAAGCATCATCTAGCGTTGGATGGAAGGATCAGATTAATTATGAAAAGTATCTTTTTTATGGTTTTCACTATAGCATGTGTTCTTCCTTTATGGGATTCCTCCATTGAAGATAGGTAAGCTAAGATAGAGCTCAAACGATAGAGCTTAGCTCATATATCTTTCCTTGTGGATTCCTACATTGGAGATAGGTCCTCATGAAGATGAAGGCATCCTGAGAGGGGGAGACTCCGAGTAGTATTATGGCTACATACGGGTAAAGATTCCTTCATGAAAATCAAGTCTTCCTTGTCTTAGGACTTGGTGACCAATCCTATCTTGTTCCATCTCTTTTTAAAATGATTTGGATCAAGTATATATATATATATTATATATATATGTGTGTGTGTGTGTGTGTGTGTGTGTGTGTGTGTGTGTATTCTTTTATTGCATCTATGTGTGCTGATTTGTGTGTTTCGCTCGTGTTTCTCTCGATTTACCCTTATGTTTTTTCTCAAATCCACCTTTCATTCCTGAAGATCAGACCTCCATATGGCTTGGTCCTATATCATTGCCACATCGCTGATGTGATCTGACGGGCGAATCCAGGTCCTAAGAGTATCTATAGCCGGGTTTAGCAAATCCCCTCACCTAAGGTTCACCGATGTCGCGAAAGCCACTTGTCAGCCGTATTATACATAACGTCTTTGTGAAGCTCTCCGTGCATAATGCATTTCCACGTACGACAATCACAACTTGCAGCCGTCCATCTTTCTTTTTCCCATGGTCAGTTATTACTCTTTTCTCCATTGGAGAGTGATAGGCGATGTGATAACAGCTTTAGGAAAAATAATACACATCACATAGCGTTGCTTGTTCCACGAGGGCATCCAATAAACCACACATATTGTCGTTGCCGTCGATGTCACACTATAAAGTCAGCCGACACACGTACAACCACTCTTTAATTTCCTTGCCCCTGCCCACCCAAATAACACTACTCTACCTGGGACGGCTGGGAGGAAAAGCATAAGCACATACTAGACGCGTAGACAACACAGAGCTACTACATGGAACCAACATGATGCGATCTGCTAGCAGTAGTAGGAGTAGTTGCAGTACAACTCCGTTTGCAGGATCGGCTGCTGGGGCAAGGCGTTGCCGTTGACGCCGGCGAGCGGGATGGAGGAAGCACCCATGGCGGCGGCCGCGTCCATGTACTGGATCAGCTCGGCGAGGGACTCGAGGCGCGCGCCCAGCTCCAGCGCCCGCGCATGCAGGAGCTCGTTCTCGGCCTGAACGACCGCGCACCGGCGCGCGGCCTCCTGTGCAGCCGCTGCCACGGCGCAGTTCCGGGCGCGCAGCGCTGCCGCCTCCGCCTCCAGCTCGTCCACCTGCAGCAGTTTGCGCGCGCGCGACCGCTGCGCGGATAGCCGGTTCGACTCCTTGCGCTTGCGGTTCCTCTCCTCCGTCAGCGCCGCAGGCGGCGCCCGTGTCGCCTCCGAGCCGGCCGACGACGACGTGACGGTAGACGCCGTGCCGGGACCGGGAGAGGCCATTTCCTTACACCACTTGATTACTTTACTTTGTTTCTTACACCAACAAATATTTAAAACAATATACAATAAGCAGGTGAACTCTCTGGTTTAACCGGGGTTGGTTGATTATGAGAAGACGTAGAACCAGTAGAGGAAGACGACGGAGAAGGACTGGACGAGGACGGTGGATGTTATCATAAAAGCAGCGGCATACAAGCAGAGCTGGTCAAGAGAAAAATTCGGCAGAGTCTCCCCTCAAAAACCAAGGTTTCTTACTGTGAAATCGGACAGAGTTTCTCCTGACCAAGCGAGAATTCTCGGGGAAAATATTTGAGCAGGGTGTTGCCCTTGATTGCAAGGTTTTCCGACAGGAAATTTCGGCAGAGTGACGCCCTGAACAAGGGGGTTTCTGACTGGAAATTTCAGCAGAGTATCGCCCTGAACAGCTAGGTTTCGTCGCAAGGATTCCAACAGAGTAGTACTAAGCTAGATGGTAGATCTTGTATGATCAGACTTTCACACAGAATCTCCAAGGCACAGGGAACTAAAGGTGGTAGATGCCAAGCAAAGAGGGTTCAAACTTGAAAGGCGGGAGCAGGGTGGTTGTGGTCAACAGGAAGTAAGAGCAGCAGCGTGGCGTTGCTGCTGCGAGGAAAGAAAGAATCCAAGTCCTTCCAGAGACGGGAGAAGAGAGAGAGAGAGAGGGAAAAGGGAATTGGGGCTTGGAAGAGGGACGCAATTTATAGGCGGGGAGGAGGGGCATTTGCTTAGGAGTTAAGTGGGCGGGTGGGTGGTTCTCTATCTTTTTCTGTGTTCGATTGTCACTCAGCTCCGAAACCCCCAGCGCTCCCTTCCGCCGGCGGCCACTCCGGCCCCGGCGTCCACCCTCCTCCTCTCCCCCCACGCCGGCGGCCACTCCGGCCCCGGCGTCCCCCCTTCCCCGGCGGACTCTAGGTCTGGTGCTTTCCCTCGCTTCTCGTCTCTTGCCATGGCGGATGGATCTGCGAGCCCGGCATCTGTGTCTTCCAAGCTCCAGCCTATCGTCTCCGGTCTTGGGTTGTCTGGCTCGTCGGGGTCCGAGGGTTTCTCCACCGGTGCCGGAGGCGCGCCGGCGGCGCAGGAGGCGGCTCCCGCTCTGCCGTGGCGCAAGCCGGGGCCGTCGCGCAAGGCGCTGTGGCGCAAAAGGCGGGCGCTTCGGCAGCAGGCGGCGTTGGGTGGCGTCAGGTCGCGCTCCCCACGTTCGCCGGCGTCGTCGCCGGAGAGGAGGGAGATCCCGGCCGACCTCTTCGGTCTCTGCTTCAGCTGTTTTCGTGAGGGGCATCGCCGTGAAGACTGCTGGTCCCCCCCCCCTGTGCATTCGATATGGTGTGGAAGGCCACATATCTACGGCGTGCAAGAGACCTCGGAGCCCCAGGGCTGAGGAGGATCTCCGGCGTGAGGCGGTGGCCAAGGTAGCAAGGGCTTCGCAGCCGTCCACGCAGGCCGGACCAGCGGGCAGGCTGGCACCGGTGGCTAGGCAGATCGCTCCTTTGGAGAGATCCTCGCCAGTCCCGGTCGCCATCGCACCTGTGGGGTCTGTGCAAGCGTCGGTTGCAGCCGCGGCTACTTCTGGTGGTGTCTGCGTTCTTCGCCGTACGCCGGAGATGGAGGATCTTGAGCGGCGCCTGAGGCTGGCGGTGGTGGCCTACGTGGGCGGCACTAGGCCAGCGGTTTCTTGCCAGGAGGCTGCGGAGGCACTGTCGGTGGAGCTGCGCATCCCGCGCCACCGTTTTTCGGTTCTGAAGTTTCATCCCGAGGACTTTCTGGTGGTGTTCGAGTCGCCGGAGTTGCGGAACAAGGCGTTGGCGGCGGGGACGGTCGAGCATGGCTACTTTAAGCTGTTTGTCAAGCCATGGCTCAAGCAAGCGCAGGCGGTGTCGAGGGTGATGAGGACGCAGGTTGATCTTATGATCGAAGGTATCCCCTCCCACGCTTGGACGTCCGAGACGGCGGCGGAGCTTCTGGGCTCGTCATGCTTGGTGGAAAGCTTGGCGCCGGAGACTGAGAATAGGGAAGACTTGTCTTTGTTCAAGGTTAGGGCCTGGTGCGTGGATCCAGACGAGGTGCCTGCAGATAGGAGGTTATGGGTGCCGGAGCCGGAGATGGTTGGAGGACCGGCGGCGAGATTACCCACGTCCCGTGCGCTGCTTGAGTACAAGATCCTGATTCACATCGGCAGAGTTCGCGATCACGAAGGCCCGGAGCGCTGGCTGAGGCCGCCAAGCTCCGATGGTAGCGGTCAGAGTGGGTTGCCCGATGATTCCGGTGACTTCTTTGGCAGGGGCGAGTGGAGAGTGCTGCCGTGGTCGAGAGGTGTCCGTGATCGGCGGGGAGGCGCTCAGGGCAACGGGGCGCACGGCGGCTCCTACATGCGTGCCCTGTTGGGGCGGATTGGTCCGTCTGACTGGAGAATCCCGCCCATGGCGCAGGGCGCTGCGGTGAGGATGCATGCGCCGGTGGTCACCACGGTGGCAACCAGGGTTGGCGATGGCGGGCCGCGGACTGTAGAGGCCGCGTTGGTGGCCACAGTTGATCCAGGGAGGATGGCAAGTGCCACAGAAAATCCGGCCGCTGTTGTCAGGGACAGGGAGGAGCAGGTGGCTTTTGACCATGGAGGGGCCCTGGAGCGGGGCCGAGCCAATTCCGAGGCTTCGCTCTTGGACCGGTCCGCGGCGGATCCCGAGGCGACTGTACCGGTGGATAAAGCTCCAGAGGAGGCAATTTCACCAAGGGCTGGCGGGAGGGACCCAGTGGATCCCGAGGCGGCTGCTGCTTCGAGGAGGATCGAGGTTTTGGATCCAGCCAATCAGGGCGAGTCGGAAGGCATAGAGGTGGCCCAGGAGGGCACTAGGGTCGAGGAAGTGGGGTTGCAGCTTCTGGTGCCCGACAAGGCGACAGCCGGATGGGCCCCGGTCCGGGATCTGATGCAGACACAGATGGAGACAGGAGAGGTGGAGAGGCTGGTTGATTCGCCGGTGGTGGGGCCTGATCTACAGGAGTCGACGCCCACTGTTGCATGCAACGACGTGACCACGTACGCTGCATGCGGGGAGAGGAGCCTGTGCGTTTCTACGCCTGAGTTGGCTGCTTGTGCGGATGGCTCGTTGCACCTCCAGGAAGGAAACCTTTCGGTCAAGGAGATCGCTGCACTGGGCAATATCAAAACCTTTTGCGCCGGGCTGCTGAAGAAACTTGCGCCGCCTCTACTCAGAGAGTTCGAAGGGCTTAGAGGAGTTCGGACCGGTCAAGATCCTTTCACGCCTCGACGCACGACCCGGTCTGTTTGTTCTGGTGGAACTAGGAAGACAAAGGCTTCGGCAGCTGAAACAGTGCTTCTTAAAACTCTAGGCTTTGATTGTGAGGATCTGGCCGTCTCTGAGGACGCGCTAGGTCAGCTTCGTATGGTGTTCGATTCACCACTGCAAGAGCCACAGCTGAGGGCCATCGCGGCCATTTTTGGGAAGGCTATACCCCTCAATCTAGCAGGGGAGGCAGGTATGGAGGTGCCAGTCATGGCGCAGTAGCGTCGAGGGTGGTGACGGTGTTGGAGTCATCAATTTTCTGATGTCCGTCAACGCTATGGAGTTGGTGTGTTGGAACGTCAGAGGCCTTAACAACCCGACCAAGAGGAAGGCCCTTAGAGGTTTTGTTGACTCGGTGAACGCGGCGATTGTATGTATTTTAGAAACCAAGCTAGAGGTAGTGAACATCTATGTAATCCTGCAATGCATGGGGCCTAACTATGATGGTTTCACCTATCTACCGGCGTCGGAGACGAGAGGAGGCATCTTTGTTGCTTGGGACACCGCACGGGTGTTGGTTACTAACTTTGTCAATGACTCTCATTGCATCACGGGGTTTGTCTCGCCGAAGGAGGGGACACCTTGGTGGCTTACCGTAGTATATGGGCCGCAAGAGGATGAACATAAAATCAATTTCCTGAACGAGCTCTCGGAAAGAAGATCGCTCTGTCCGGGGCCTTGGCTCGTGGTTGGAGACTTTAACCTTATTCTATATGCGGCGGATAAGAATAATTCCAATTTAGACCGGAGAATGATGGGGAAATTCAAGTGTTTCGTGGATAACAACGCGCTCAAGGAGCTATTTTTGCATGGGCGAAAGTTCACGTGGAGCAACGAAAGGGAGACGCCCACGCTTACCAAGATCGACCGCGCGTTCGTATCCGTGGATTGGGAGATAGATCACCCGGATTTCTTGTTGCAAGCCCTGTCCACGGAGCATTCAGATCATTGCCCCTTACATCTCACACTCCATGAGCCAATGCATTATAAAAAGAGGTTCCGCTTTGAGAAGTTTTGGGTTAAAATGGAAGGTTTTTTGGATACCGTAAAGGAGGCGTGGGTTTGCGACCCCGATATTATGGATCCTTTCTTGAGGTTGGATGTGTTACTTCGCAACACGGCTAGAGCCCTTGCCTCTTGGGGGCAAAGAGAGATCGGTAATATCAAGTTGCAGATCGCCATTGCAAACATTGTTATCTTGCGGTTCGACTGCGCCATGGAGAACCGTAGGCTCACGGAGGAGGAGAGATGGCTCAGAAGAACTCTGAAGCAACGGGTGCTTGGGCTGGCATCTTTAGAAAGGACCATTGCGAGACAAAGGTCTAGAATCGCTTGGCTTCAAGAAGGGGATGCTAACACACGCTTGTTCCACTTGGTGGCGAATGGGAGGCGGATGAAAAACTATATACCGTCCTTGAACATGGAAGGGCGCACCATCACGGATCAGAAAGGCAAGGAGGAAGCCTTCTACAATGCCTACAAGGAATTGTTGGGCAAGGACGTTGCTAGAGAGTACTCGCTAGATTTGGAGGGGCTTGGAGTCCCGCATGTGGATTTATCGGAGCAGGACCGGATATTTACTGAAGAGGAAGTGTGGGCTGTCATTAAGGATCTCCCCTCCGATAAAGCACCGGGTCCGGATGGGTTCATTGGTTTGTTCTTTCAAAAATCCTGGGAAGT